TTAAATGAACGTGGACAAGAAGTCCTCCAACTCGCAGATATTAATAACAAGAAAGCGATAGAATCGCAGCTCTCCGAGATCAATTCACAATGGCGCGAATTAGTTTCGGGACTCGAAGGACGCAGGGATGCACTCGAGGCATTATCGCGACATTGGGAAGACTTGGAAGCACAATGGGCTCTCATCGAATCACGATTGATCGCGACTGAGGAAAAAAGTAAACTCGTCGATACAGTGGTACGATCGAAACAACATTTACACGATACTGTCAAAGTATTAGAAGTAAGTAACAATTTTTCTAAAAAATAATAATTTGTCTACTAAAAAAATATTTATCACGAACAATATAAATATAATAATACAATTAGTTTGAGAATCACTATCGGAATAATCTATCTTATGTATACATATATATATATTCCATGAATTTAAAAATAGCTAAATATATTGAAAGTGGGTTAAGCATGTTCTATAATTATTGACATGAGCATAGATAAAACTTTGTATAATAATAGAAAAATGTACGTCACGCGAAGTATACTTTTTGATCCTTTAAATGGCTATGTAATGTCGCATTTTGTGTGGATACACATTCTTATCGATTTACCGTGCACTAAGGATACAGATATACTATTAGTTCTATCTTTCTCTCTTCCTGATGCACCCTCTTTATAAATGCCGAACGTGTCAGACTTGCACAGCCAGGCACCACAGGTGCTCGGCCCTCCAAAGCTAACTACTTTAGTCGCTCACGAATTATCAAACTGTGATGAACGCTCGTAAAAGACGATCATATAAGCGATATTTTTATAAAAGATGCCTGGACATTTTTACAAATATTTTTATTTGAAATTTAATATGTGCTAAAAAATTAAAATAATTTAAAAACTTGGAAAATGATGTAAAATGATCAAAGATCGAAAGAGAAGTTAATACGCTTCCTGACTTTGCTGTGAACAGGAACTTGTAACGGAAGCTGAAAAACTTAAACCTGAAACGGAAGAAGTGAAGAGCTTGGCAGGACCTGTACTCGCGTATCTCGCAGCGTTTACGGAAGCACCGGCACGAAATCTTGAGGAACGCCTTGAGAAACTACAAAAATCCGTCGAATCGTGAGTCAAAGTGTATTTTGCTTTTATATCTGCTCAGAATGTGGACCAGCACCACCTTATGCGATCGCTAGCCAATTAAGTCAATTCAATATTATCTTATCGTTAATTAACATAGGTAATTAAATAAAAAAACATTTTTATAAATAGACTAATAATATAAAAATAATAGAATAACTTTAACAATTAATATTTATTCCATGTATTCTAGCAAAAATATAGCAAATGTTCGCATTTCATATAGCATTCCGGATTTATAAAATTTTACTTTTTCAAGTTTTAACATCACGGTTATATTGTAATTTCAGAAATAAAATATACATGCACTTTTTTATTATTATTTAATACGGAGAATAAAATTGATAATATTTGTAATCATAAAAATTTAATTTAACATATTAAAAAATTTAAGTTTACAACATTTTTTGTATTTGTCTTATTATAATATTTTATAAGTTTTATAATAACTTATTGATCTTTCGGCTGGCAATAAAAGGTGCTATTTAGGTCCTTCTGCGAGCAGATTTGCATGTGCATGTATAAATGTGCATTTGAAGCTTCTGCTTATATGTTCCCTTTTCCTATGACATATACATTTTCTATTTCAGCAATTCTATATTTGTACTGATCAGTTATTTCTAGTATTCCTTTCAGGTGATCATATCATTTTAATTTTTTGCATTTTAGCATATTGGTATATATTAATTAAAAATAATATAATTAATGCAAGATACCTCTTCTTTTAATTTTGACATTTAGGGGAAGATTATAAGATCACGTTTTTTAATAAGTAAAAATACCGACGAGGCACGAATGTGTCGCAATTTTAATAAAGGTTTTTAAGACTGTTATCCTATCACGACGCATCCAAATCATTGCCAAAACACTGCGCTAGCAATTGACTTTTCGGTCGCAATGTCGTAGTGAAACAGTTGGTCAATGAGCGAGGAAACTAAAATACTTGTAAAACGATAGTGCAATTATTTCAAAACAAAATATTATATTAGGTGTTGGAATTAATTCGTAGCGTTTTTTAATGAAAGAATGTTATTTATTTCACATGAGCATTAAAAAATACATTAATGAAAGTACTTCCCATCACTTGTAAAACGCTACGAATTAATTCCAACACCTAATAACATATCACGAATCAACGACAAAGATTATTTTAAGAAGATCTACAGTAAAACTGCGAAAGAATGACAGTGACAAACAATTTTGTGAAAAAGTGTTTTATTAAGGTAAATTTAAATTTTCATATTATTTCCAATTATGTCTTTCCAAATTGAGCTGTTACACAGTAATAGTCAATCATGATAAAATTCTCCGATCATTATCCGTCATGCTTGTACTCCAATTAACGATTACATAATGTTGCGTAAAAATTACAAATCAAATACGTAATAATAGTTACGACGCAATGTGAGTGATCCAAATTCGACATAATACGACTAGCGTTACAAAACAGAATATAAATATAGTACATAAATATAAATATAGCTTGCAGACAATCTCATATATTAAATATTATCTAATACATATTCCAGAATTTAATAGATTATTTTTTTAATAGATTATTTATAATTCTTTGACTAATGTAGAATTAATTTTACTCTATCGAAAATATTAAGAAAAGACAAACGGGACATTTACTTATATCTTACACAACATTCCAATTTTTAAACATCTATGCAATTAATCTTCTTTAATCAGATTTTTTAATTGTCGATAAAGAAATTCAACAATATATGAATTAGATTTTACTATCCATTTGTATTACCAAAATCTAATTTAAAAAAATCTTTCATTCTCTTTATCGTTGGTAATTTAAGAGTTGTTGGTCTCCCACAACGGTTTTTTGTTACGAAAAGATTGACACTAGCTTGTAATCAAATTTAAATAAGTCGCGATCGCGCTTTTTTTCAATATTTGCGAAAGTTAGTCACACGCGCGCATATACAATCGATATTTAGCCGTGATCGCCGATAATCATCGCTTCATTAGCGCTACGTCACCACTAAATCTGTCATATGACGTATGACGTAATACGGGCTGTATAACACCGTATAAACACTCGATATAAGACTACTGAGAAAGGTCGATATGCGTTCCCAAGGGGAAATGTGTCCATGGCCCCTACCATACTTTTTGTCGCCCGTAGTAGTATCACCCAGCGTCAGTTCATTCAGTCATCATCGTACCGGCATCGACGACGTGTTGCGCACGATGCTAAAAATTCTACTTTTCGTTGCATCTTTCTGCAGACGTACCATCGACGCTGATTACGTGTTCAAGTGCTCGCGTTTAAGCACTCGCGGATAACGCCGGCGTGCGACGTTTTGACGTTTTGCCAGGTGGCGGATTGTCATCGGGCATGACGTCTCGTCTCCAATGTATTCCAATGTATTTACATCCGATTCCGCACGTGTTGTTGTGTTGTCAATGATGGGAGTGGCGTAATTATTATTTTCATGCGGAACGTAACGCACAACAAATGAAAAACTCTGGTGAATACTAACACTTGGACGGATATGAGCTTACGTTTTGGGAACACG